CCCTCCCCCCTGTTGATCTGGCCTCTGCCATCTCAGACCACCTGACCATTGCCCCCACCCACCCTCTCACCCCTTGCTGTGTCCTACTTCATCTATTTATGTGCTTTAATCACCCGAAGGTGTCACTGGAGCTCCAGGGGTCAGAGGCCGTTCCTCTGTGCTACCTTGCTCACTGCTGCATCCTCACTTCCAGAAGCATCCAGGCGGTGCCCCGTTCATACTGGCCCAGTGACCAGTGGTGAATGGAGAGCCTTAACTTGATCGCATTTCATAATCAGGAAGGACTCTCTTCCCAAAGCCTTGGGCGCTCCTCCGGGAATGGGGAGTAGCCGCTTCTCCAGGCTGCAGCTCTATGATATTTCGATGTCCACACGGCCATTAAACACATTTCGTAGGCAAGCCAGGATCGGTCAAGGGACGCTAATGGTTCCAAAGGGATGTCTAGGACCACGACGACCATCTCGACCAGGTCTTAGATTCAAAAAAGAAATGGGTGACGTGAGCATTTCTAACAGGCATTTCTCAAGTGTTTTCCACCTCTTTAGTACCGGCAACCCCTTTCCAAGGCTCCTGAAAATACAGGTCCATTATCTCCCCGTTTCTTCCCTGCTGGAAACTTTACAGCAAGTGCTTGTTTAATGCAGCTCACACTTCATGGAAACGGCCCAATAAAAACATTTGTAGAATGAATATGAGGTTCCTTTTTTTCTTTTTCGTTAAGTATTTGGGTTCATTCATTAGGATAGTCATAAAGAGTTAGCAAGAGAAAATCAGTGAGGTTTTAAAAGTCGTGAGAATAAAGATTATTGTAGAAAATTCTCGAGGCCCTCCTTGAGATGGATCTACCATAAGGAAAAGAAGACACACAACTTATAATCATGATTTGTTACACGGGTCTGAACCCAAGAGAAGTCGGAAGAAGCCAAGATCCGTTTGAGGGCAAAGATTGAGCAAACGAAGTTACCTCATCCCAAAAACTCTACCTTCGCGTCTAAGCCAAAATACAAATTCTAACTGAAAAACTCCAGGGGCCAAAAATCTTCCACTTGGTAAAGTGATTATCAAAAAGAAAGTGAAAACGAAAAGGGGAACGAAATGTGCCGGGCGAGGGTTGGCCTGAAAAATGCGAAAGGCATTTTTAAAGTTTAGAACGTTCCAGGGTAAGACACTTCTGTTTTCAGGAGGAGACCGTCTACCGGCGTTTGCATTTTTTATGTTTGGTGTCCGAGTTTGAGAGGCGTTTAAAAGCAGATAGCAGCCCTGCTCCTTGGTTTCTGTGAACTGTGTGATGTGGAGCCTTTATTTTAAAATAGAGGTTCCGTTTGGCTTCTCCTCCTTGTTCCCGTCTCGTGTGGATTTTGCTCAGTGCCCAGCCTGTCTAGGGCCCTTTCTAGAACCCTCCCCTGGAGAGACAGCACGTCTGCCTTCCGGCACTGACAGGCTGAGCTCGTGGATCAGCGGGCAGGTGGGTGACCCCGCTGACCTTCCCCTGCCCCCCGCTGCTACTGTGGGTGAGAGTCACTCTGACGTGTGACAGGGACAATCCAAGCCTTTGCTTTTCCGTTTCCTTATTATCTGGGGGCATCAATTCTATAACGTTCATCAATTCTATAACGTTGACTATTACGATTAGTATTAGTAGTAGTATTTTTATTATTTTTGGACTGCGCTTCTACTCTCCATTTCAGAGTGGTTTGTCTCGGAGAACGGTGCTAATCACCCCATACTTTATATATCGTAGAGAAAAATATATGAACTGTAACAGACATGCTTGTGTTTCTCATGCTAACGCCCTTCCCATCATGCAGTTTAAAGCCTGAGCCGGGCCTGGGATTTTCCCTCAATGCATTTTTGGTCATTTAATCACCACGGCAGGATGGGCACTTGTGTTGGGGGACCCCAGGCTCGGCGGGAGCCCGGCAGGAGGGAGCAGCGCCTTGCCTCCGCCGGTCCCATCGCGGCCTCGTGAGCATCTTCATCTAAGTCATCGCCTCTCTGGCTAACGAACTGTTTGGGCTGGGGCATTCTTGCTGCGGGCGGCTGCCCCGGGCATGGCCTCTACCCACTGGACACCCCCAGCCCTCTCCCCCTCAGCCGTGACAAGCTGAGACGCCTGTCGACGTTGCCCGATGTACCCTGGCTGAGGGGCTCCCTGCGCAGCCCCCGGCACCTCCCGGATGCTTCCCTTTGGGCCGCTGCTTCCTCTCAGCGCCGCACCCCGCTCTGAGCTTCTGGAAGAGTCTATCCTGGGCAAATGGAAGGCCTTGTTTTGTGACTGTGTGTCTGCCGTACCCCAGCTGGAGTGTGACCCCCTCCCACCCCCGAAGGCAGCAGTGAATGTGTATTACGTACACAATGGTCCAACCCTCCACGAGCAGGTGTTTTGCAGGTGTTCAGGGTTTCTTCGCGATTGTTCTCAAGTGGACCCCTGTTGGGTGGGGAGGGTCAGGGAGCTCTGTCCTGTTACTGTCCCCTCGTGACCCTGCGTGGCCGGACAGATGGAATGTGAAGACGAACATTATAAAACATAGGACAAATTCCAGTGAACCAGTCTAAATACATGTGGGTGGACAGGAAGGGACTCGACAATTAAGAAAAGTTTTCTGATTTTGTGATGTGTTTTTTTTTGTTTGTTTTGTTTTGGTTTTTTTTACCACCAGAACGAGACAGCTTTCTGCTCGGCCATGAACGTGCGTCTGTGCCTTTGTCCACCCCTCGGGCAGCGGCGGCGGCGGTGACCACGGCCGGAACCGACTTGGGAGAGCGAGCCCCCCGAGGGTTGATGGCTGGCATGTCGCAGCGACCACCCACTATGTACTGGTGTGTGGGGCCGGAGGGGTCAGCTGTGTGTCCGGGAAGCGCCATGGAGACACATAATGGTAAGGACAGGGCCGGCCAGGCCGGCCATGCGTGTCCCGTGGGGAGCCCTGGGCCACACAAGAGCAGGCGGTTTTCAATGGAAGGATGTAAAACACCAATTACTTGGTGAATTTTTCATTATAAAATATATCTTGGTCATGTCACTTAAATCTATTGTGTACCCAAAGATCTTAAGAATCGGGGCAGCATTTCGTGTTGGTTAAAAAGATATTTTTTTTTTTAAGTGGGAATTTGATTTCGTTTTCTCATTATGCAAAGAATACGTATTTATTAAAGAAAAACTGGGGGAAAAAAAAAAGAAAGAGAAGAAAATGTCACCCAGGGTCCCACCGCTGGCATCTTCGTGTGTCTCTTCTGGTCTGTTTCTCTGGGCTTCGGGGACCGTGTTTTAATTTTATGAACTTTTAACAGTGCATATAGTTTTGTGTCCTGCTCTTTCTCCTAACCCGTCTCGGTCTCCTGGCTCACTCGAAACATCATTTTCCATGGGAGCGCTCTCGAAAATGACTGACCTTCTTCTCCGCGTGGACGTTTTGGGACATTGAGGTTGCTTCTAGTGGCTGTTACCAAAACAGCAAGCATTTCCACCTTTCTGGTTTTGAGATTATTTCTAGAAAATAGATTTGCAGAAGTGGGATTGTGGGGTCTGAATCTCCTTAAGCCTCTTGACATGGACGTGGCATGGCAGGACACCACGCGTCGCCGTCACCAGTAAGCATCTGTCGGACCCTCCGCAGGCCGGGCTCTGCCGCCAGTGCCTTATGGCGTGATCTGTCGCCCTCTCAACTGCCTGTGAAAATGGTGTTTCTATCCCTCTTTTGTAGCTGAGGACTAGAAGCTTGGTCAAGGTCAACTTAAAAATGGCAGATCTGCGGTTTGACCATCTTAAGCCTGTGTTGGGTTTGAGGAGTCCTATGTGTGGGCTTGAGGGGGGCCAGTGCATGGGTTTGTGCATGGTCTAGCTGAGGTCTAGAAGCTTGGTCAAGGTCAACAACTTAAAAATGGCAGATCTGCGGTTTGACCTAGAACACATCTTAAGCCTAGAACGCGCTTGTCCTCAAAGGCTCAGCCATCCTGCGGGTGTGGGAGGCCCGTGCATGGGATTGAGGGGACCCTGCGTGGGTTTGAGGGGACCCTGCTTATTGACTATTTTCCTGTGCGTGGGTTTGAGGGGGCAGTGCATGGATTTGAGGGGCCCGTGTGTGGCTTTGAGGGGGGACCGTATGTGGGTTTGAGGGGGTCCTATGTGGTTTTGGGGACCCGTGTATGGGTTTGAGAAGCCTCTGTGTTGGGTTTGAGGAGTCCTATGTGTGGGCTTGAAGGGCTCCGTGGTGAGCTTGAGGGGGGGCCAGTGCATGGGTTTGGGGACCGTGTGTGGATTTGTGAGGCTCCCTGTGTTGTGTTTGAGTTGGCCCGTGTGTGGGCTTGGGGGGCCTGTGCGTGGTTTTGAGTGGGGCTATATGCGAGTTTGAGGGGTTCGTGTATTTGTATCCTCAAGTCACGTTAGCGATTCCATATTGTACCTAACTCAGCAAACATTTTGTTTTTTCTCCATTGAAAATGCCCAAGGGCTAGTTCTGCCGATGTCTCTGGAAGATTTCTTTGCTCATAAATCAAATTATGAAATGGGAAAAGAATTTGCTTCTTGGCATTGCCCAGCACTCAATGTTCTCAGAGTGTCTGACTTGCGTCTTTTGAAAAACTTACTTCTTTTTTTTCAGACGTATGTCTTTTATCATTGGCTTGTCAGGAAAAAAGCCTGGCTTTCTTAGTGCGAGATCAGCAATACGTACGGCAGATGCTGGACCCGATTTTTGGGGAGCGCCTCTGCCTGTCCAGGGCCCGCTCAGCTCCATCACCCCACCTGCCTCTGGGGACAGGGACATTGGATCGATTTGGGGCTCGCTGTGTGTCATCTACAAAAGCCCCTTAGGGGACTCTGCCCTGTCCCCCTCCTGGTCAAGAGCTGGTGTTCTAAATGAGAGCTTCTCCACCCCGGTCCCCAGAATCACAGCTGCCAGTGCCAGGCGCCACCTAGACCCACGGGAGCAGCCTCTGGGGTAGGGGAGGGACAGGCATAGGCGTTTCTTAAAAGCTTCGCTGCCTGTGATGATTCTAACGGGCAGCTGATTGAGAATGAACTGGTCCAAATAGTTCGGGTCGTCTGGAGCAGCGCCTCTCAAATTGCAGTGGGTATGCAAATTTCCCGGGGATCTTGGTGAAATGCAGATTCCCAGTCTGTAAGTGTGGGGCCCCAAGTGTCTGCATCTCTGAAAGCTCCCGGGGCCGTGCCCATGTTCTGGTCACCCGACAGAGTGGCAGGGCTGAGCTGGTGGCTTGTCAAGGTGCCCAGGCCTCCCAGAGACCTGAGCTGATGGGCCAGGCCTGGACAGGCCCGGAACCAGCCCTGCCTCTGGACTCGATGTAGGACAGGTCGCTGGAAAATGTGAAAATGTTTGCGTGTACCGAGAAGCCCAAGCGTCGACACTCCCCGGCTTCCCATAGTTCCCCTGGAGCCTGTGTCTTAACTTTATACTCCTCCCCCAGTGGGTCCCTCTCCCTGACATCTGGGAGCCCCAGGATGGAAGGACCCGGCTCAGAAAGGCTTTTCTACCCCCGGGGCCTCTTTCTCCAGTGGAATCTGACTCCTACCACCTGTTCCGAATGAACCTCGGGACACGCACAGGGCGGAGGGGCTGATGGGAACCAGGCACTGATGGGCGCTGTTCCAGATGCTCGGAGGTGGGGTGCCCACGGGGGAAGGGGTGTCTTCTGAACCCCGATGCTGAGGGAGGCGTTTATGCAGGAACCAAACACCCGAACCACAGAGCTGAAGAAGAGGAAAGCGGCCCGAAATACATTGAAAAATCTGTCCCGTGGCTTAGGCTTACGGAAATGTTACTCTATTAACGAATTATAATAGTGATCAAACCCTCCTATGAAGGGCTATGCAGAAGGTAGAATGTATGCCTAGGTGTTTCAAGGCCTCAGAGGAGCTGAGCGTGGGACCCCCGTCCTGGGGCCCCACAGAGATAAAACTCTGCAACCCCCCTCCCGCTGGTGGCAGGCTGCTTATTTGGTGGCCTCTTGCAGTCACTTTTCAACCCCCCCTGAACTCAGTGGACGAATGAGGGCAGAGGAGGCCCTGCCCCTGCGTGCCAGCCCCTCCCGGGCGGGCAGCATCACCATGGGGACCACCACCGGCACTGGGCATGCCGAATCCATCACCTCCGGCCCTGGGTTAAGGATCCCCTACTAACTGCGTGTCAGCTAAAGCGATGGGCACTTCTCGGTGCTGTCTGTCTAGAACCCACAGGAAGTTTATGACTGTGTTTCCTTTCTCTGGGTAGGAAGGGTTGGGGAGAAGCTTTGGGACTCACACAGTGTGGCAGAGGCTTAGGAACCTGCCTCCGGCATTAATCAAGACCAATTTCCCTTCTTTTTTTTTTTTTTTAATAACTAATTTTTCAATTACAGTTGGCGTACGATATTATATTAGTTTCGGATATACCGAGTGTAGCAGTTAGAACATTTCTATACCTAATGAAGTGATCACTTTGATAAATCTGGTGATTTATCAGATGGTACCCATCTGACACCATACATAGTTATTACAATATTATTGACTATTTTCCTTACTCTGCACCTTACGTCCCCGTGACTGTTTTGTTAAGTACCAATTTGTACTTCTTAATCCCTTCCCCCTTTTCACCCACCCTGCCAGCCCCCCTCCCATCCGGCAGCCCTCAAAATGTTCTCCGTTTCTATGAGTTTGTTTCTGTTTTGTTCGTTCATTTCGTTCTTTAAATTCCATATGTAAGTGAAATCTTGTGGCGTTTGTCTTTCTCTATCTGACGTACTCCACTTACCACAATACCTTCCATGTCTATCCACGTGGTAGCAGATGGCAAGATTTCGTTCTTTTTGATGGCTTAGTAATATTCCATCGTATATATGTACCACTTCTTTATCCATCCTAGTGGCCTCTATATGTTGACTATTGTAAATAATGCTGCATTGAACATATGGAGTCACATGTCTCTTTGAGTAGAGCTTTGGGTTTCTCTGGATAAATACCCAGAAGTGGGATGGCTGGGTCTTTGTATCTTTGTTACAGCCTTTGTTTTAAGTTTATTATGTCTGGTATAAGTATTGCTACCCCAGCTTTTATTTTTCTTAAGTTCCATTTTCATAAAACATTTTTTTTCCATCCTTTTACTTGCAGTCCGTGTGTCTTTTGATCTGAAGTGAGTCTCTTGGGTCTTGTTGTCTTATTAATGTAGTCACCCTTTCTTTTGACTGGAGCATTTAATCCATTTACATTTAAAGTAATTATTGAGAGATATGTAGTTATTGCCATCATATTCATATTTTTAATCTTTTTTTCTTTTTCTTCTTTTTAAAAAAGTCCCTCTAACATTTCCTGTACTCCTGGCTCAGTGTTGATGAACGCACTTAGCTTTTTCTCGTCTGGAAAGCTCTCTATCTGTCCTTCGATTCTAAATAATAGCTTTGCTGGGTAGAGTAATCTTGGTTGTATGTTTTTGCTTTTCATCATTTGAATATTTTGTACCAATCCCTTCTGGCCTGCAAAGTTTCTGCTGAGAAATCAGCTGACAGTCTTATGGGAGCTCCCTTGTAGGTAACTAATGGCTTTTCTCTTGCTGCTTTTAGGATTCTCTGTCTGTAACCTTTGGCATTTTAATTAGGATGCATCTTCGTGTGGGCTTTTTTGGGTTTATCTCATTTAGAACTCTACACTTTCTCGATGTGAATGTCTATTGCCTGAACCAAGTTAGGGACGTTTCCAGTCATTATTTTATTGTTGTTGTTGTTGTTGTTGTTGTTATTATTATTACTACGGTGACATTGCTGAATGAAATCCAGTAAGTTTCAGGTGTACGATTCATTCTTTCTTGAAACAGGTTTTCAATTCCTTGCTCTCTCTCCTCTCTTTCTGGTGCCCCTGTGACGTGAATGTTCATATGCTGCGCATGAA